ATATGCTTTATAACATCAATTATATGTCTAAACTACAAGATCCGAGAGTTTACCGCCCAAGAACGTTCTTGGGGAGTAAACTCCAAAACGGAGCCTAAAGGCTTCCTAGTCCCAATTCCGTGTTAGACAACTTGTTTAGGGGTTAGTGTATAAACATTTGGGACTAAAAAGCAATCAAGAAACACAAGTTATAGGAGTTTACGGCCAAGGAACTTTCTTGGGCCGTAAACCCCTTTTTAAGGGACATAAATGCCCTAAATCACCTCCTTAAGCCTAAGGACTTTACCATCTAATGCTTGTGCTTATTTTGGACACCAAAACACTTCAAAATCATAGATTTATAGGAGTTTACAGCCAAGAATATCTCTTGGGCCGTAAACCCCTTTTCTAAGGGTAAAATGCACCACAAACACCCCTAAGGCCTTAAGACAATTTACCTTGAACACATGGGACTTGAATGGAGAACAAAAGACATCATAATCACTCCTTAAAAGGAGTTTACGGCCAAGGAACATATCTTGGGCCGTAAACTCCAAGTGATGACATAAAAGTGTGCCTCTTGTCCCCTTTAGCCTTAGATAAAAGTATGGAAGCTATCCTACACATGCAAGGGCCTCAAAAGAATTAAAACCAACACCCCATAGGAGTTTACGGCCGTAAACTCTAGGGGATATAGTCCTTTGGCCGTAAACTCCCCAAAGGAGCATTCCAAGGCCTTAAACTACTTCAAGTATTATTCCAACAAGGCTAGGCTTATTCTAGGACCAAGATAAGACTTCAAAACACCCAAAACCTCCATGTGAGGAGTTCACGGCCGTAAACCCATGGGTTCATGGCCGTAAACTCCAATGGGTAGGGTTTGTTGGGTGGTGAACTCATATACAAGGCCATTTGTGCTTTAAACCCCTTTTGCCTTGTCCCGTATCAACTTAGATGCAACCATTAGGACCTATAACACTTATATAAAGTGTATACATGTTCCTAAGTGTCTTAACTTACTTTGTTAAGTTATTATTTGGCTAATTAGTTATATATATGCTTATTATATGATAACTAGGCTCGAACGTGTGAACAAGTCTCCGTTTGCCACTTAGCACGGTACCCGATACATCAATTCAATCTACTCACCACAAGTGAGTTTATACCCCTTTAATCAACCTTTGAAATACTTTTAAATGTTTTAAATACTTTATGGGGGGGGGAATACAAGTCAAATACTTATAGTTATTACATCAATCACATGTGATTGCATTAATCACATGTGATTAATAACTAGAAAACCAATGATTTTACCACTGTTCAACTGTTTATCAAACTGTTTCACTTCAAATGTTTTACAAACTCTTTTTACTTATCAAATGCTTTTATTAAACTTTGTTTTACTTCTTATAAATTGCTTGCCCATATATGTATATATATAAGTAATGTTTAAAGGGCTTAGGAAAGCCATCCGCCCTATTTCCTTTTCCTCGATTTGGATGTGGTCTGGTGGGATTTCGGGTGACCATCCGAGGGTCGTTTCCATATTAGTTATATATCATATATACATGTATAGACATAAAAGTACTTCCATATTCATATTTATCAGTACATCAATAGCTAGTTACCATCGGGGTAACACAATACATATACAACTATACTAGAAACAATACATATACAATGATGCTAGAAACAATACATATACAATGATGCTAGAAACAATACATATACAATGATGCTAGAAACAATACATATACAACTATACTAGAAACAATACATATACAATGATGCTAGAAACAATACATATACAATGATGCTAGAAACAATACATATACAACTATACTAGAACGAGAAACAGTACATATACATGAATACTTTATTATTGTGATTTAAATCGGAGCATGACTTAACTGTCATGGCTCGAGTTGTAGCCAGAATTCTCTTAAAGGGAGAGCGTGAGTTTGCGTATAGATCTATACTGGATTGACAATCCTACACCTTGTTGCTAGCTACAGCCGGACCTGCAGGTCTGCGGGTGCCAAACGTCATTCCGTTATTACGACCATTCATTATGTCGTTGTTACTTGTCGATAGTATGGTGCAATTTATCACGTAATGCCTTAATATAAATCCGGTTTAAGGTAGTTAGTACAACGGTAGTTCTTATAATACAAGGCTACAGTACTACAATGATTTACACATTACATATTTTTAGTGATAACTTCACTTAAACGTTTATGTACAAACTATATTTTTTTAAATGATAGTTACACTTGGGAAATTACACACTTTTACATCAAACGAGCATACAAAACAGTTAAGCCTTGGTAGAAGGCTACTATAATAGAAAATATAGGTTTTTCTGAGAGATTCAAACTTTTACAAACAATTGCAAACCTTTACATACATTTTACAAACTTATACTTGATACATGTTCAAACATTTTTGGATGACAAATGCCGACACTAAAATACTTATGAACTCACCAGCTTAATGCTGATAAACTCTTTCAAAATAACTTGTATTCTCAGGTCATCAGTAGACAGGTACCGAGGCCAGCTTTTGAGAAGATGGAGCGCATTCAAGACTCATCTTATTATTTTGATATACATTATTTTTGGTGTCTATACTGTACAGAACACGCTTGTATTAAAATTATATATTTAATGCAATGGATGATGTTGTTTGCTTATTTACATTTACTGTGTTGTGATACTTACATGACGTCCTCCACCCCAGAACGGTTCCGCCGTTCTTGGTTTTGGGGTGTGACAGTTTATTAATAATATATTAATATGAAATCATATGTTTTAATTAGTATTGATCAAGAATTTAATTTGGAATTAATTTAGTGGTTAAAATAAACTAATTGAATCTATGGGGTCTAATTATGATAATTTGTTATATTTATATGTGTTGGGCTTATGATCCATGTTGGACCAAGTTTATGTATGGATACATAAAGAGTTGAGTCACATGAACTTGGATCATAAAACCCATGGGTATGAATTTGGGTTATATCCATGACCCTAGAAATCCCACATATAAATAGATACTTCATTGCCCAAAATCGCCACTTGTATCTTTTGGGAGTTCATGATGTTTTTTCTGTGCATGGAATTCTCTCTCAAGTTCAACCTTTGTCTATGGTGTGTTGTGATTTCATTTGAGGCTTCCACACTATTGGGGATAAGCTCTTTAAGGCCAAATACACGAAGACTTCAAGATCCATCAAAAGGTATGTTATGCTGACTAGTATCTTATATGGTTTATGTTCAATGCATGCTAGTTGTAAGATTAATACCTTGGAAACCATTTGCATGTATAATTAGTAAAAACATAGATCCAAGTTATTTAGGGTTTTATGTGCACCATAGGATGTTGTAGTATACCAAAAACCAACAACAAGGGTTCTGTAGATATAAAGAACGCCGAAATCCAAGTTATAACGAAGAAGTTATGACCCATTGAAGTTTTTTGACAAAACCGGCATGACACCGGGAGACGTAAATAGTGAATTTACGACGGAGGACTTTTTAGCCTTAGAAATCTAAACAAAAGTTGTAGTATACGTTAAACCGAGAACATACAAAAAAAAAAAGAACGCCCAAATCTGACTTCGTATGAGGAAGTTATGAATTTTTTAAGATTTGGCATAGCAGTGGATGGCCCGAAACTCGAATTTTAGATCGAGCAGTTTTTGGCCTACGCGACCTAAATGAGAGTTGAGGATCTCATTAATAGAAACTCAACAGTAAAAAGACAGACGAAAATGGAGTCCGTATGTAGAAATTATGAATTTTACGTGGACATTTAACAGTATAATCTCCTCGTACTGTTAAATTTAAGATCGGTCGAGAATTAACCGACAGAGTCTAAATGAAAGTTGTAGTACTCGTAAATACCAACACGTGGATATAAAGAACGATCATAGACTAAAATCTAGTGGTAATAATACTAGGTTTCGTCGAAGGAAATTATTTTAAAGTAAATGAAACGTTGTCCGAGTATCGAGTCACCACCTTATCAAGTGAGTGCATGGTCAATTTCATCTTACACATAGATATGAAGTATTTTTATATAAACTACGTGTTATGTGTGCATATTATATGTATAATTTCTATCTATGCTGGATGAACGATTTTATACAAGTTTTATATGATTTAAACTGTATATGTATTTATATCTACATAATATGTTGGGTAAAACATGGGTAGATGAAATATGAGTTGGATGATGAGTTGAGAGGTGATATAGACCTTGAGGTAAGGGTGAGAGGTAGACGATGTGAGAAGCCTTGTTCCCAAATGTTGGCCCCGTCATCTAGCAGAGTATGGATGACAACCACAGATTATTCTAGACAGTCCAGTGGAACACTAGCAGGATCACAACCTGTAGGTGTTATGAACTATGTGTTCACCCGATGTACTCTAAACCTTGGCAATCATGCAGACTTGATGCCTAAACCCTGGTGACTATGCAAACTTAGTGCCTAAACATTGGTGATCACGCATACTTGATGCCTAAACCCTGGTGACTATGCAGACTTAGTGCCTAAACCTTGGCGATCATGCAAACTTGATGCCTAATCCCTGGTGACCATGCAGACTTGGTGCCTAATACTTGGCGATCATGACGATCATGATTATTCAAAACACCACTCACCTTATTATATCTACTAGCATTATAATTGTAATTAATAATTAAATTATGTAATTCGAGTGACTGATTATATGTAAATAACTATACTAAAATAATAATAAATTAAACACACTATTTATAAATTAAATTAAACTAGTTATAAATTAAACTAAAGTAATTAAACATAACAAATTATAAATCAACCGAAAAGTAAACTTTTAAAGAAATTGTAAGAAATACGAAAACTTACATTATGTCTTCCTAGTGTATTATTACGTCTTCCTAATTTATTATTCAAGGCGCCAACAACTTGGCTATACCAATTGCTTTTACCAAAGAACATATTTGATATCGAAGTTCTGTAAAATTATTCCAAATCGATGGAATACAATTTGATTTGCTGCCTTTCTTATATGGTAGGCTCGAATCAAATGACACAAGAACTACTTTCTAGGATTCACGATATTATCTGATTGCTTAGTATTGAAACTTGAAACTTTGTAAGCCAGACGATTGTCGATACCAAAAATCAAATAATTGTAGCCACATTGTCACTACATGAGATACATAGTGACATATATAATACATTAATTATTAAGCAAGTTACAACATCAACTTGTTAATGCATTCTATGAAAACCTTATTATAATCATTAGATAATTAGAAAAAAACCATCATACTTAGAAATTCCTTTTAATCAGCTTCCAAAAAACTTATATAAGAAATAATAAAACTTAGAAATTCCTTTTAACAGACTTTCAAAAAGCTTATACAAGAAAGAAAAGAAAGAATAAAGTTGAAAATAAAGCTATTAAACTGAATAAACTGAGTATGTATAAAAGCCTAGAAACTATAAAAATGAAGGAAAAGAGAAGTTATGTAGTAGGTCGTCAATGACAATTGTTCGAAAGTTATGTATAATTATCTTGTAGATGACCGGAGGGAAGTCAATTAGGAGGGAGATGAAAGTCTCAACTAGCAATCAATGATCATTGAACAGATGTCTAAAGTCATCAATGACAAATATTATAGACGTTGATTTGTCATATACTTAAGAAGAAAAGAAAAAGACATTGAACGTTATTTCAATGAAGTCTAAACAAAATCAAAGCTATTTGGCTTGGGCTAAAAGAAATATGATTTTATTCGATGAATTGACCCAAAGTCTTTTTTTTAATGAAACAACCCAAAACCCTTTGGTCCAAATTACGGTGCTACAATCATAGGGACGGATGTTATTAATGCTATTTGTGGGATTGCTAAAACAAACGTTATTTGTTAGGAGACTACTAACCATAATACCGCCATTATAACAATGTATTTAATGTATAGTTTTTAAGAAAAGTTATGGAATTATCGTGAAATTTCAAAAGAGAATTGAGTTTGGGATCAAAATAATGGTGTCGGATAAATGAGTATTTATGAGTGAGTTTTTAGGGGAAAAAATTGCATTTAAGTTGATTTATGTGTTGGGCACCGGTTAAAACGAGCCTCGAGAACAGTCCAGAAGTGATAATTTGAAAAGTACCAGCTGAACCATACCGTCAAACCAATTTGTGACCTCCCGATCCATGACTGGTTAGGACCAATTTAGTCCCTATGCAATTTTTGAGATTGATTCGGATCAAAGCTTAATGTGAAGGTCTAGTTGAATATATATCGATATTGGGCCCATCGTTCCTAAGACATAGTTGGGCCGGTCCATGTAAGAGGAGGCACGCCAAGATTTATTGCCGTCAGCCGTTGGATTTAGGGTTTTTAATCTCCTTCTGCTACTTGAAACAAATTCCTCCTCGTAATTCTCCTGAATTCTCTTTAGCCGAAGGTTTCCGCCCCCGGACTAAGGTATGCTTAGATTAAATCATTACTGAAATCTGTATACATTCATCATCTATGGAAAACGTCGGAGACTGTACTTCAAAATTTGATGCTGTACTAGTGGATTGATTAACTTAATATCTGCTCTCTATAATCTCAACTTTGATTTTTATGCTCTCTATAATTTCAACTTTGATTTTTATGCTCTCTATAATCTCAACTTTGATTTTTATGATTATGTAAATTATTGTAGCTCATCAGTCTTGTTGTTTTTTTCATAAGATATACTTGAAAATCTTGATGACAGTTTGCATAATCAAGGTTTGATATACGAAGCTTTTTCGAGTATACATGAATGTGCAATGGATAAATAATCGTGTTCGTATTTCTTGTAATTTTTGTGGGAATCGGAGCTTATTCTTTATCGTATATAGCAACAAATAAAATAAAATAAATAAAGCTCTTGAGTGAATCGGAGCTATCAATACGAGCTTTTTAATTTCATTTCCGTTTTACTCGTATATTATGGCTCATTTGCAATAATACATTCATTCCGGTGATTACTCTTTTTGAGATGCAGTTTCACTCGTTTAAAGATAAATTAATAGAAATGGGGATTAATTAAATTTGCTTTGGTAGTGATAATTTAGTATGATGGTGTATTTGCAGAGTAGTAGTGATGGTTAAGCATAACAATGTTATCCCAAACGGACACTTTAAGAAGCATTGGCAGAACTATGTGAAGACATGGTTCAACCAACCTGCCCGTAAAACAAGGAGACGCAATGGTAACTTCTGTTCAAATCATAAACATATAGTAGCTATTTTTTACTTTTTATATTTCAAATGATTTTTCACCATAAGTTAAGTTAATTTTATTGATTGCTACAGCCAGGCAAGCAAAGGCTGTTAAAGTATTTCCAAGGCCAGCTGGATCACTTCGTCCTCAGGTTCATTGTCAAACCTTGAAATACAACATGAAACTTAGGGAGGGCCGTGGATTTTCTCTTGAAGAGTTGAAGGTAATATAACATTTCAATGTTTAATTAATAAAAGTTTTGAATGTTTTAAACAATAGGATGATGATATAATAAAGAAGTAGATTGCTATTTCTGATTGTGGTTGTAAAAACAGGGTGCAGGTATTCCAAAGAAACTTGCTCCAACAATTGGTATTGCTGTAGATCATCGTCGTAGGAACCGTTCTTTGGAAGGTTTGCAAGCGAATGTCCAGAGGCTAAAAACCTTTAAGGCTAAGCTAGTAATCTTCCCAAGGCGTGCAAGGAAAACTAAGGTAAACTTAGTTTATCATCAAATTCCTAATTATTAATCATATCTTAACCATTTTTGTATCTGAATGATAGTAATGCTGTTTTATGGATATCTGTTACTTTTAAACTCATATACAACTTGTGTACACGTAAACAATTTGAAAGCGTTGCTTTATGGCATAATCACGAAATTCTCAAAAAAGGTGGTGTTGTAACATTTTCTCAAAATGACCACCCATTTTGTAAACTAGACGCTTTTTTTTTTTTTCAAAATTACTTTTATAAGTAGGTTCCCACTACAAAAACCTTTGATTTTTTTTTCTTCAGAAATGATATTATCATTTTCCAAAAAAAAACCGGAACAATTTTTTTTGTAAAAAGGTACTTTCACATTCACATGGTATATTTTCTGAGATAGGTGGTGTTTTTGTTACTTTCACAGAAGGTGTCATTCGGTGTAATGTCACACCCCCTAATTTGCCATTGCAGTAGCTAGCATTTTATTATTGGATACTCTCACTAAAATTACCAAAATGAGTAGTTTCTTATCATCGTTTGAATATTTATTTCAAAATTATCACTCATTTCATATAATTAAATTCCTTTGTTTAACAAGTTGTTCTAATAACTAATGATCAAATCCCATTATTATTAAACATTCTTATGGAGACATTGATGTAGCGATTTTGCAAAAAAAAAGTAATAGCGTAATTGCTCAAAAAGTGTCATTTTGTGATCATATATTGGTCATATTTGTAATCTCTTGTTGCTTTATTTTATTAAGCTAGTGAACATTTATTATTATAATTTCTATTATTAAATAAGTTTGTTGAATTTATAGGCGGGTGACTCAACACCTGAGGAGCTTGCAAATGCTACTCAAGTGCAAGGTCAAGTGTTACCAATTGTGAGGGAGAAGCCAGTTGTTGAACTTGTGAAGATTACTGAAGAGATGAAATCATTCAATGCTTACGCTAAACTTCGTGTTGAAAGAACAAACAAACGTCACTTGGGTGCTCGCCTCAAGAGGGCTGCAGAGGCCGAGAAGGAAGAAAAAAAATAATAACCAAAATTATATTTTTCGATGTTTTTTTTTTTTTTTTTTTTTTTTTTTTTTTTTTTTTTTAATTTCAAATATGTTTAAAGATTCTGCTTTGGAGACCTTGTGGTTGGTTTGGTTTTGTGTTTAATTGTTTTGAATTAGTTGCTTCGCTAATCATACGAAACACCCACTGCAAATAATCTTTTTGTTTGTGAAATTTAGAAAGAACCACATTATTTAATTTTTAAAGTTTTAACCGCTATATGGCTGAAATCTAGAAAAAACATGAAGTATATTGCTGTTTCTTACAAACTCCTATAACATATTTGAATATTTGATTCCATTCATAAAGTACGATATGTCACAGGACTCTCATCGTTGCCAGTTTGGTGGGTGTTTGTAATTCAAAATTTTGTATGTAGTTCAAAATTTTGTAGAAGATAATGTATACATAAGATAATGTAGGGGTGTCAATTTATGATACGACACGATAAAAATACACGACACGAAACGAAATCGGGATGAAATCAAAATTCGAATTCGTTTTCGTGTCGTGTTCGTGTTAAGTTTAAAAAACACGATGTCGTGTCGTGTTCGTGTTTACAAATCCACACGAAATTGACACGATTGAGCATATATTTGTTGTGTTTTCGTGTTTGTCGTTTTTATCGTGTTATATATGATTAAATATGAATTAAATAAAATAATAGTTATGTAATATTATCTTTGTCGTGTTGTGTCGTGTTGTCGTTTTTTAATTGGTTCGTTTTCGTGTTAATGAAAAAAAAACACGACATCGTGTCGTGTTGTGTTCGTGTTACAAAAAACCTTGTCGTGTCGTGTTGTGTCAGACAAAAACACGACACGATGGTCCGATTTGATATGCCTAAGATAATGTATACATGCACAATTGTTGATAATCAGGCGTTCTATAATCCAAAGTATAAGAGTATCATGTGGACTCGACTCAAGCAAACAAAGATGTTAGCATTCGAATCCTGCTTTGCAAGTAGCCAAGTATTAGGCTTGACATTGTATCGTGAAGCTGTCTATGGGGTAGAGTAGAAAAGGAATCACTAGTCTTTTGTTGACATAGGATTCAAGTGCATAACACTACAAAAGCCATGCTTAACATCACTAGAAAGAAATATAAGTGACAACGTTCTCTTGTTTTTTATTCCACCAAAGCTTCAATTCTCATCCCTTTGTCTGCTTGATAGAAAGGGATATATAAGAGCATGAAGGAAAGGTAAAGAATGCGCAATTTAATTGCCATAAACTGTCTCTCTTAGGGCAAACTTTTTGAAATTTACAGATGTAATAGGAAGTGTCATAAAAGAGTAATAACTAGTAATGAACATTGCTCTTAAAGTGGTTCCATAGAGTTTGAATTTTGAAAAAGGTGATGAAAATACATTCCCATTTCTTGCAAAATCCCATTCAAAACCGGACAGAAACTTCTAAAGTTCAGTGCCTGAAGGAAAACTATATTTTATTTTGGCTTGTCCTAAACCATGTCTTATGACTATAGGATGAAAATGATAGATTCACATGGATAGGAATGTATACACTTTGAAATCTAAGTGGCAAATGTTTCACTCTAATTCATGAAAATGATTATGAGGGAATACTTTTGCTGATAGATTTTAAAGATTGGATAAAGATTAATATGGATATTGGTTGTGTTAGTTGCATTCTTAAATTGACAATATGATTACGAATTGACAATATGATTACGACATCCTTCTTCATATTTCGAATTGTGAAGAAGACAAGAAATTGTTTGAACTATCGAGAGATATATCCAGTAGTCTTGAAAGGTTTAAACACACAAACACATATACCTATCAGACTAAGGTGTATAAGCTTAATAAGCCTAGTTGGAGACTTATCGAACCATCGCGTGACAGAAATCTGCACTTCCTAAAGAAAGTTGATATGCTGGTAAATTTAGATGAGTCAGCTAACCGCAAGGAAGCTATGGAGAGCACTGAGGCTGCCAAATGGAAAGAGGCAATGAACAATGAGATTCAGTCCATGTATGACAACCAAGTTTGGAATTTGATTGATCAAGAACCTGGTTGAAAGACAGTGAGTTGCAAATGGATCTTCAAGAAGAAGATCGACATGGATGAGAAAGTACACATGTTCAAGGCACAACTGGTTGCAAAGGGCTATACTCAAACCATTGGGGTTGACTATGATGAGACATTTTCACCAGTGGCTAAGATCAAGTCTATAAGGATAATGTTTGCCATGGCTGCCCTGCATGATTAAGAATTTTGGCAGATGGATGTCAAAAGTACTTTCCTTACTAGGAAGTTAGCTGAGGATGATTACATGATTCAGGAAGAGGGTTTTGTACATGATAAGTATCCTGATAGAGTGTGTAAGCTTCAAAAATCCATTTTTGGAATGAAACAAGCATATCATAGTTGGAATCTTTATTTACATGAGAAAGTGAAAGAATTTTGTTTCTCTAGGAGCAAAGATGAGTCCTGCATGTATGTCAAAGCTAGTAGGAGTATAGTGATCTTCCTAGTATTGTATGTTGATGACATACTCCTTATGGGAAACGACATTCCGACAACACAAGAAGTGAAATCTTGGCTCAGGAAGTCTTTCGCCATAAAGGATCTAGGTGAAGTTGCCTATATTCTTGGGATAAGGTTTCCGAGGGATACAAAGAAAGGACTTATTGGTCTTAGTAAAAGTAATTACTTGGACATAGTACTAAAATGTTTTAGTACAGAAAATTCCAAGAAAGGGGAATTTCCTATTCAGACTAATGCCAAGTTAAGTTTGAATCAAAGTCCGTAGTACAAATGAAGAAATAAGCTGATATGAGTCGAGTCCTGTATGCTTTGGATGTAGGTTCGATCATGTATGCTATGACATGTACTTGCCCTAATGTGTCTTTTGCTTTGAGCATGATCAGTCTCTTTCAGGGAAATCCAGTCAGAGCTCATTAGACTACAGTAAAGAACATACTTAAGTATTTGCGAAGTAGACGAAGGATATGATTTTAGTCCTTGGAGGCAATGATACATTAAGAGTAACTAGATATAGTGACACCAACTTTCAGACAGATCGAGACAACTTTTGTTCTCGGTCGGAATGGTGTTTGTGTTAAATGGTGGAGCAGTAACTTGGAAGAGTTCCAAGCGAGATACCATGGATGATTCTACTTGTGAATCAGATTACATAGCAACAAGTGAAACATCAAAGGAGCGACTTGGTTGAAGAATTTCATCATAGATTTCGAGTAGTCCCAACTATTTAAAAGCCATTGGAACTTTACTGTGATAATGAAGGCACGATTTTCTTAACCAAATAACCCAATGATCATGGTAGATCCAAGCATATCGACAGAAGGTACCATTACATCAAACACAGAGTTGAAGCATGTCATATTATAGTGAAGAGAGTATCTTTCACGAAGGCTTTGAGTAGGGTTAAGTAGGGGTGTCAATTTATGACACGACACGACAAAAATACACGAAACGAAACGAAATCGGGACGAAATCAAAATTTGAATTCGTGTTCGTGTCGTTTTCGTGTCAAGATTAAAAGACACAATGTCGTGTCGTGTTGTGTTCGTGTTCATAAATCGACACGGAATTGACACGATTAAGCATGTGGTTGTCGTGTTTTTCGTGTTTGTCGTTTTTGTCGTGTTATATATCTGTAAGTATGAACGAAATACACTAATAGTTATCTAATATTATCTTTGTCGTGTCGTGTCGTGTTGCCGTGTTTTAATTGGTTCGTTTTCGTGTTAATGAAAAAAAAACACGACATCGTGTCGTGTCGTGTTCGTGTTATACAAAAACTTGTCGTGTCGTGTCGTGTCAGACAAAAACACGACACGACTGCCCGATTTGACAGCCCTAGGGTTAAGCATAGCCAACATGGTAGGAGCATAGGCTTAAAAGATGACTTTAGTTTTAGTAGTTAGTTGATATTTTGAAACATGTAGCTAAATAATTGTAATTAATTTTGGTGATTAAGTAATAAAGATTATTTATGAGTATGGTTACTTCCTTTTTCGATTATTTATTCTTGTGTTTCATTTTGCATGTTCTACCTCCCGAATGATTTGATTATTCGAAACTCTAGTCGCTCATAGTTTTGGAAGTAAGTAGTGAATGAAGAATATCATGAATAGATTTTAGATTGTGTACGAAGATTAGACATTGCAATGGTTGCTGCAATACTCATGAGTACTTAGAAAATGAAGATTTTGAGTATTGGCTAAACCTACGCTCAAGGAATTACTTCATGGATTATATCAAGAGTGATTCTGAGACGATAATATCTTATATTCTTAAAATAGAGATATATGAGTTGTAATTTATAAGTGGGTTGTGCTAAGGTGTTACGTAAACACATCAGTAACATGATGTTATAAAACATAATGCCATGCATGATTTGGTGAGTAAAGGATACAAGCATATGAGTCGAAGTTTATTCATTCGTTTTTCTCTAAAAGGAAAAGCAATATCATGGGACCCCTCGATGATTTGGTGTTGACAGTATAGTGTTGGGCCCAACTTGGACTAAATTGATGTATTCAATTAGTAAGTCTTACAAGGCCACGGCAAAATCGAGAAATGGGAATTTTTTTTGGACAAGAGATTGATTATAATCCATGTTTCACGTCCATATGATCTCTTGTAGAATGAAGGAACGTTTGATCACTTATCTTTGGACTGATGTCTAACTGGATCATAGATTGGAGTTGCTTGGAAAGCACCCTTCAATATTCAATTTAGAAGTTATATTTGCAATTGAACATATAGCCTTATCTACATGGGAGACTGTTGGATTAGGTGTCTAAGCCAATAACTAAATTGGTATATACTTGAATTAATAACAAAGTGCTTTTGGGTTGCCATAAAAACTAGTAATTGATAGAATGACTTTTTGGCGAAAGAGGGTGATTTATTGGTTTATTATAAGATTAATAAATAACAATAAATAATTTGTTAATATATTACGAGATTAATGTATTAACTAGAAATAATATTATTTAATTAATAATTAATCATATATTAATTGGAATTAATTTTGGGATTAATTGGATTAATTAAAAGTAGAAGGACTAAATGTGACAATGTTCAAAAGTTGAGCATATAAGAGTTCTAGAATCTTCCCATATAGGTATGGTTTTAGACGAGGGTTCCTTGGAAGCCTTAGGAAGCCTTATGGAGCAAGAAAAGGGATAAGGGTTATCCAAGGAAACCTGTATTATCCTAACCTCCTTACTCAGCCTCCTTACTTACTTA